GCCCTGCGATGGATTGGCGACCTGTCCAGGGTGTACCCCGCCTTCGCCCGATTGCCGGCCGGGATTGGCTCCGGCCCCACCCATGGCCCCGTTCAGGGACTAAGTGGTAGAAAGTGAATGAATGAACATTGAAAGTGAAGGAGAACCCTAAGAAGCCAAAGACACTTGCTAAATAAAGGGGGGGAAAGGGAAATGTTACAAGGCTAGGGGATATTATGCCAAAATGTCTTATGATCCTTCATATTTTGCTGGAGTAATAACTCTGCTGTGTCAGTGTAATGTCATGGTGGTGGGTTGTATTACTATTTCTTTTATAAGATACTATCCTAATATAAAAGAAACAGAAAGAAAAGTAAACGGTGCATTAATCTGGATTCAAAAAAATAATGTAATCTAAGAATAGCTTCAGACTTTGGTAGCCTAATGCTTGAATTTTTGGCTGAGCACAAGAACTTTTTGGTGTGTTTGAGCTCCATGACAATAATGATGAATATGTTGATTAAACACTATGATGTCAGGTTTATGTTAAAGTCAGTTGCCTGTAAAGTAACCGCTGTACATCAGCTGCAGAGGTGGCCTGAAGTGGTTACCTGCAATGTCATAACTACAGCAGGCCAGAGTGTAGTGTAGTGAACCAACAAGACCATTACACTGTTTCAATTTGTATGTGTGATTTTCAACATTTCAGTATATGATTTGCTGTAATGTAGATGCAATATATTCTGGAATTTTAAATCATGGCTTCTCTGTTTTTTTATGTGCTCTCATGAGTTTATAGAAGATGTGTTTTTGTTTTGACACATGTCTGGTTGTGTGTGCAAGTGTATTTTCTCCTTATCTTCACTTGTGTTCCCCTTTAAGGAAGAAACTCTCTCATGTTATATAAGTTTTCGTATTTACTTTCAATAACCTGTCTCTGCTTTCACTGTAACATTAGTGCAACACACAGAGACTTAAGGGTCACATCAATAACACATGTGTGGCAATGGAGTAACCGTATCAGTGGATATCTTCCAGACATCAATAGGATACCAGTCTCTGGTTAACACTGAGTAGTCTCCTAGCTAGCTTCACCTGATATCGTCTGTCTAGGTTCCCCTCAATAACTTACTTTGGGCTGAAAAAGGCTCCTGTAATCTAAAGCTATGGATTCAGTAAGTACTTGAGAGAATAATCGACATTAGAACAACATTTCCTGTTTTATTTATCTCACAGTCACCAACAAGATCCTAAAAAAAGCAGTTGCTTCTTTCAAGTGTGATGTAGTGTGAAAAGCAACAGTCTTTATGGTATAAAAAGTGAATTTACTTTCTTCATGCCAAATAACAATTAAAAATGTGTTAAGCATATTTATATTAAAAGACTGGTAGGTAAAGATTTGGACATGTTACTGGCAGAGTATTGAAGGAACACAGTGGTAATCAGAGTGAGACAAATTTGAAAAGGGCATACCCATCCAAAATGCTAAATCTAAATATTAGCATTAAATCAGCCAGAGCTAAAACAGCTTTGATATTAATCCTATGCTGATTTATCCAGAATGTGTGTGTGTGTGTGTGGGAGATCTGGTATTACTCATGTTGTGGGGACATAAATCAGTTTATACCTTCACACTGTGGGGACTAGACATTCTTATGAGGACAAAAATAAGCCCCCAAAGCATAAATCAGTTTTAGAATAATGACTTGGTTAAAGGTTTGGATGAGGTGACACTGAGCCTTCCCTTAGTTATGCCGCTATAGGCCTAGACTGATGCTGTCCTCTCCCCTCACTCTCTATGCATCTATATGCTATCTATATTACATGCCATTAACTGCGTGTCTCTTCACTCCTGTAGTGTGTCTTCTCGCTCTCCCTGTACTTTTCTGCAGGTAGCCCTGGCTCCAGAGCTTTATGTTTCTGATGAGCCACACTGGCCACATCTACCTGCCAAGTGTTCTTTTCTTTTCTCTCTCCTCTATCCACTCACTCCAACCGGTCGAGACAGAAGGCTGCCCACCAAGAGCCGGATTCTGTCGGAGGTTTTTCTCAACAACAATAATAATAATAATAATAATAACAATGCCTAGACCTTACTATATAAAGTGTCCTGAGATGACATTTGTTGTGATTTGGCGTGATACAAATAAAACTGAATTGAACTGAATTCAACATTGTTCTCTGAAGTAGTTCTATTATAATTTATCAATCTATAATGAAATTTAATGAACTCTAATGTATTATATTATTGTCTGTCAGTTAATATACATGCATAGACTATACCCTCCACTGTGTGCTCTGACTTAACACAACACTCCCACATGTATGTAAAACAGGAACAAACTGGAACCTAACCATGCAGTATAATGAGATTTGGGCAACAGTTCTAGTGAGTGTGGGTCATACACACATGCAGCAACACTCATGATCCTGTTTGTCAAGGTGACAGCAGGAGTGTTATCTTTTGCATGTTTGAAGTTAATCTGCTGGGACGATATAAAATTAAACTGACTGCGCTTCCACACAGACACATCTACCACACGTGACAAAAAAAATATACACTTTTATATAATTATGCATTACATAAATGCAGATTTCTTATGATGTTCCATATAATGCCTACTCTGCGCTAAAAAAAGGAGAAAGTGAATGTGGATATTATTAATTTTGGAGAAGAGGAGGTGAACACAGAAAAGCTGACCACTTTTATAAATTCTCTAAACATAAAGGACTCTGCGCTACCTTATAGCACACCTAAACAGAGTGTCAAAGCAGGCAGAAGAAAACAAGATGACTGCAAGTAACCTGGGCATCATCTCTAATATGTCCTTTAGTCAAAACTAAAGGACATACTTTAGGTAGGCAGTAAAGACAACGTACTTTGGTACATTGTCTTTACTGCACTTTCTCCGTTTTATTATTCAAGTGCAAATTAAGTAAACTACATAGTGTCCTGTATCAAAAAGAGGACAAGTGTGTGTGTGTGAGTGTGTGTATGTGTGTGTGTGTGTGTGTGTGATCAAAGGGCTGAAACTGCACGATGCTTAAAGATGCATGAGAGTCCTTCAACATTAACGAGATACTCTGATGGAAAGTTCCACTACAGTGTGAAAGGTATGTGGAGCGAATGAGGAGCCAGACAGCAGGAGGGCACAACAGGCGTAGGATGGAGAGATAGGAGAGAAGTGGCACACATTTCTGTTCAAACTGGGGCCTCCCTCCTCTGAGCATCTTGCTATGTGTGTGTGTGTGTGTGTGTGTGTGTGTGTGTACGGTGATAATACCCCACCGTCACAGTGTTCACACACACACAGTAAGGGAACACCCAGATTATAGACTTACTAGCCTAGGGAACAAGTCAGTTGGATTTTTCTTATTGTTTGAGCTTTTCATACAAAAACAAAGTGTTCACAATTTTGCTATTTGGATTGAATTTAATGTTTTCAAATTAGTGTGAAAAGCAAAATTAGCAAAGATGTACATTTTATAACGTCAACTCTCAAACTATAATTTGTCAGTGTTGCCATAACAACAAGCTGGCTTACAATAGTGTTATTATTGTGATTATTTTTATAACTTTGGTCAGCAGGACTTCCTAGTTTAGCAAGTTTTACAAATAAGGATGAGAAATGTTTTAAAGCAACATATATGCCATTCAAATAATCAAATGTCCATGTTGAGGTGGCTCGGGCACCTGTTTAGGATGCCCCCTGGACGCCTCCCTGGGGAGGTATTCCGGGCATGTCACTCCAGGAGAAGGCCTCAAGGCAGACCCAGAACACGTTGGAGAGACTATGTCTCCCGGCTGGCCTGGGAACGCCTTGGGGTTCCTCCTGAGGAAGAGGAGGTGTGTGGGGAGAGGGAAGTCTGGGAGGCTCTGCTCAGACTACTGCTCCTGCAACCCGGTCTCGGATAAAGCGGACGAAGATGGATGGATGGATAATCAAATGTATATACAGCAGCCCAAATAAGCAATAAATATGTTTAAATAGAAATAATGGTATGACTTTTTATACTGTACAGCTAATATGGGTTCAAATTACAGTAATAACACATTTTGTCAATCTAAAATCCTTTGTCTATAGGCTTTGACAAATAGGACCTGGTTTTCAGAACTACACTGAATAGACATAGTGGCAGCTGTTGTCAAGGTTTTTCAACTGCCGGGCTTGTGACTTTTCCTGCTTTCTTGCAAATCTGCCCGGGGAAAATAAAAATGCAATGCTTGTTACTCAATCATTATCACTACTGACGTATACTCGAGAAAGGTCTTTAACCCACAGATGTTCCGGGAAGTGGTTGTACTGGCTATGAATATGTTTCATTGTGTCACTGTGAAGCAGTGCACTGGAACACCTTTCCACTAAATTATGTGCCAGCGATGATCTTGCGAGACCAACTCGGAACAAAATTGCGGTTCATTGTAGCCAGTCATGGGACCATTAATATGTTCTGATGTACATTTGACACACAAATGTGTACCAAATTGTAAATGACAAATCATTTGGGTTTTCTCTGAATAGCTGTCATCCCTGCTCCAGAGAAATGACAAACATGGAAAAGAATTTGTCATTTTACAATACTATAATTTATCACACTTTTAAAAACAACTATAGCAAGAAAAGGGTGGATTTTTCTTTCTGGGAAGATAATACAGGTGGATAATATACAACAATGGATTTCTTGATATAATTAGCAGATGTCATCAGGGAATCTAGTGCCCACCACATGTTGATATATGATTACAGTTGCATTGTTTAACATGCATAGAATTAAAATCATATGGTTTTAATCCTGTATCACTTAGAGTATATTTACCTTTATTGGCAGCTAAAGAGCCCTTTTGCTGTTTTATAAACTGTTGGTCACACCCACTTGACATCATCCTGTGAATTTCTGGTATTTAAGAGCTAATA